TTGAAATCCATGGAGACACCTGTCAAGCCATTTACTATATCCTTGAGCACAAAAACACCAGACTTCAATTAGAGGCTGGTGGTCCTGTGTTTAGGGAGATTCACAGATCAAGCCTGTTAAAGATCCTTTATGAAAAAGAGCAGGGGTCCTTATTGGTGTGAGCGGTTCAAACTTGCTTATAAAGTAGAAGCTTTTCCAGACAGTTGTTACCTGTCTCCCATTACTGTATTGCAATAAGTGTTATACTTGATTGTAAAAGCAATTAGCCTTCGGGCATGATTTTGCGAATAAAGTGCACCTTAGTGCGCCCAAATTTGGAGCTGTGCACCCAATTGTTTTCTGTGGATGCACAATGAGTGCAACCACATTTTTTGTAGATATTTCAAATGTAATGTGTCCGACAGGATATTCTTGACATCCAAGTGTCAGAAAAGAAATAAAATCTTTGTTGCAGTACCTCCCATTTCAGATTCAAGCTCAGAAGAGCAATACAGTCTGTAAAATTTTGTTTTATATCGCGCACCCAAAAATGTTTTGTGCACCCAATGTTTTAGGTTGGGTGCACCAGTGCACCTACTCATTGATGATGATGTTGCACCTATTCCCAAAAATGAATTTCCAGCCATGATACCATTTATTCCCCAGATGCCCCCAGGGAGCCCACTATCCATCCGCCCGACATGTTTCTCTAATTGGAGGTGAGAAGTTTATTGGCAGAGCTGAGCGTTTGTCATGTCTGAACACTGAGGCAAACACTGCTGGGGAGGTCCTGACACGATCAATGTGGATAATAAATATCAAACCATTCAATCAAAAATGCATATTGGTAATGAATTTCAATATATCATGTACATGTCGGTCAGTTAATTCTCCACCATTGCAAATGGAGTCCCTTTAGGCCCTGGTAAGGTACAAAATGTACAGAATACAAGATGTCATGTAGCTGCCAGGGAAAAGGTTTCAAGGCCTATATATAAGGAAAAAAATGTTGTGTTTCTTGTTTCCCGACCGACGCTTTTTTATCCCTGCAAGGGACATAATTTTTTCAAACTGATTGACCTTTTCTAGCTTCATGACCTGACACCTGAGTGATGGAATGCTGTACAATTCGTTTCCTAACAGTGACATTAAATTTTTTACTTTGTTTAACTGTCACAGTTTGGATCGATATTCATTTGACAAAATCTAAAAAAAAAAAAGAAAGACAATCCCTACCTAACAACCCTAATTTTGGGGATTAAAACAGGAAACACAACATTTCCCTCACAAGTTTAAGGCTGTGTTCTTACCAGAAAGCCATTTTCTCATGAACTATACGGAGTTCTTCCACCTGTAAAAACACATTACAGGACCTGATATTTACCTGCCACCATTTTGTGTACATGGGAAGGTCAGACCATGTTGGAGAAAGGTCAGACGGTCGTTCCCATGCATGACGACACGAGAATTACCATGGCAACAGCAAATCATTTCCATGGTTACCAGACAATGTTTGAATTATTTTCACAATTTCTTATGTATGTATGCTTAATTTCAATTCAGTCACGTTTAGTTTTCGTTAGTATAGAGGACGAGGGCTTAGCATAAGCTAAATAAGCTTTTTTCCCTCCTCCTGCACCTGTTTTATTTATTATTAGTGTATCATGTATAATTTTTATTGCTGCTGTGCAAATAAACAAACAAACAAACAAACGTCTCACCTGCTTAGAAATTAAACGGAAATCCAAAAATCTGTTTTAAAGAAACAAAAACTGAAATCACTGGCCTGGATTCAAACTGCAATGATGTTGTTATTTAAGACTGTTTGACTTTTAGCATGAAAACCTGACATGAGTACAGAAGAACACTTGGATTATTGATTGGCAAAACAAAGCTCCACTTCTGTATGGTCTGATGGGCTGCTATAGCAGTCTGTCGGCAAAGCTACACAGTTAAGTCAAGAACTATATATGTTACAATAATGCTAAAGAAAAAAAAAATACAGGACTCCTGGAATCTAAATGAAAGAATTCTGGACGACATTTTAAAATGTACTATACAGGTTAATGCACAATGCATCAGTAAAGGTTAGACATCCAGGTAATAAGATACGTCAACAAACAGTTACTCAAGCAACTGGATATGATTTTGGAAACGGTCAGACGTCAGCATATCAATCAATAGTTCATACTTATAAACTTGCCATTCTGACAACTCTCCAGTGTCAATGAAGAGTTGTCAAAAAGGCTGCAGTAGATGCTACCTGACACGGTAGACCATTTCCAAAATCATAATCTAGTTGCTTGATCGATGAAGAGTAACTGTTTTAAATGCACATTGTCAACAGTTTGTCTTGTATAACAGAAAAATGCCAGTTATTATATATCCCAGTCTAAAGTGCACATGACACAGTGTGTGAGTGTTGTTGAGTGTTGAGTGGGTCAGACTAACAGGTCAGTGGTTCGGGTTTTCAGGTAAAGTGGTCAGACTCTCTACTCAAACACGTCAATACACAGGCTTATATAAGGGGGCTGTCTCAACACTTCATATAAGGGGGCTGTCTCAACACTTCACTTCTCCTCAAACAACAACTATTTCATCGGCTCAACCAGTCTCAGAAAAATCGCATTTCCCTCATACATTTTGTACTTCAAATGCACCATATGGGCTATTCCTGTGGACGACATGTGGATTATTATTATCATTATTAAATATAGCTGCTCTGCTTACTTCTTTTTGTTATAGACTCTGTAAATGAGATTTCTAAAACTCCCATAGACCAAGAAACTTACTGTTCGTGATAAAATTTCATTGGCACAAAAGCAAATTCTGCCCAAAAGCAGTCACTGTGGCTAAAAATTAAAATCCTTGTGAAATCTGTCCATGCATATATGAGAAGGACCAAACACCTAACCAGCCTGTCAGGATGAATAAACAAACAAAAAACACACACAAACCAGCCTGTCAGAATGCTGACTGAATGACGTGCTACAACAGAGTCAGACAATCCCCTGTAAGACCTGGTACTCATGGGAAGGATCAGACATTAAACCCCTGCATACATCTCTTGGACGGATGTTCATAATTTCCTACCAAACAACACACATGTATCACACTGCAGTGCACATTACTGTATACAAGCCCTCGCATACTGTATTCTATGAATACTAAGTTTCATCAGGTTGGTACATGTAAGTCACTAAATAAAGAGACTGTTTTTTTACACAAGAGGCCTGCTTATTCATGCTGTATTTTTGTAATTAACTTAAGTCAGGAAAATGATCAAATCTGACAACCTGCCTCTTTCTGAAACAGCAGTAACTAATCAAATTAGAAATCCTGTCAAACATCTGCCATGAACTGTTAATTCCTTTGTTATAAGCAAATATACATTGTAGACAAGGAGCTATTAATAAACTAGATATGCAAACATTCTGCAATTAAATGAGCCAACAGAAAAATGAAAACTTGAGGGTATAAGTTATAACCAAATATTAATATCCAATGTTAATAGCAACAATCTACATGACTAATGTGTATCTATCTCCTGCTTTGAAATCCAATGTAACAAACCAAAGGTCCATTCTATTCTGTAAACTACCTGGTACTATAATGATTAACACAACATGTCTTTTATTCCCAGATCTCTTTAAATCATGCAGCTGTCTGCTGCAGCAAGTTTTAAAATTGAGTTCAAACTCTTACCTCTGCAGAGTATTTGTACGTTAACTTGTCTTACTCTGTTTCCAATGTATATTTTTTATCACTATTGGATACTTTAAGTACAATATTTTAAAGATGACTAATCACATGAGACTGTCAATCTGTTAACAAAGTTAAGTTATCAAATTGTTCTAGACAGCTGTAAATATTGTTAACTACAACACATGCAATTCAGGATGCACTCCTGCGATGATGTTGTTCTTAGTAAATACAGAACTTCTAAAGTTTGAACACAAAAGTCAGATAACCTACCCCCAGCCATGGTGGACTTCTGATGGCCTGACAGCGCAGACTATGCTTAGGCCAAAAAACAGTTGAGCAACTGGATATGATTTTGGAAACGGTCAGACATTTCAGGTAGCATCCACTACCTTTCGTCAGTGACACTGAAGAGTTGTCAGAAAAGCTATGAGGGTTAAGTTTTTCCGCAGCGCTCCCCTCCCAGTTCTGGCCTCGCTTGTTGAGCCCCACTCCACACCCCGGACCACTCCTGTCAGCCAACCAGCTGCTGTTGTCATGGTAACATGTGTACAGTAAAACAGGGTGAGAGCACTTATATGGGGGGGGGTGAGGACGGCTGTTCTGTGTTTGTTCTGCTCCAGCTGGTTCAGGAGTGAGGCCTGTATTGACCCTACACTGATCCCAGACCAGAAGGGTGGGGGTTTGACTCTTGGAATCTCAGCAAAGAAACCAAGAAGCTGTGGGTTTCAATCTCACCAAACCAAGACCTCAGGTCAGACCTGACACTGCCTTCTAAGAGGTAGGTAGAGGTGTGTGTGGTGTGGTTAGAAAGTTGAGAGTTGCTCACCTGACTGGTACGGTGCAGGAAGTTGCTGCAGCCTCAGAATGGCAGGTCTGGAAATGTTGTTCTACAGTATTCTTTCAAACAATATACAAGGTCATTCTTTTAGTCACTTATTCATCAACATATCTATTTTCTATCCATTCATCCTTCCACCCACCCATCCATCCATCCATCCATCCTTCCATCCATCCATCCTTACATCCATCCATCCATCCATCCATCCATCCATCCACCCACCCATCCATTCATCCATCCATCCATCCATCCATCCTTCCATCCATCCATTCATCCTTCCACCCATCCATCCTTCCATTCATCCATCCATCCATCCATCCATCCATCCATCCATCCATCCATCCATCCATCCATCCATCCATCCATCCATCCATCCATCCATCCATCCATCCATCCATCCATCCATCCATGCCCTGTGAAAATGTCAGAGGTCACAGTTCAGAGTTCACAGTTCAGAGGTCAGAGTTGACCTACCTGACGCTGGGCTGCCCCTGAGCGGAGTGAGTGACAGGACGGGCGTGTCCCGGTCAAAGGTTGGAGTTCCCATCTTCTTTGCCCTTCGACTGCCGGGAGAATGGGCGTGGACTTTGTCTACGCTGATTTCTGAGGGGGAAAAAAACAAAAAAATAAGTTCATGAAAGTTCATCTGTGTTGGTAGTTACATGTTTAAAATTAAAACTTTTGATCCAACACAAAAAAAGTTACTCTCACCTAGAGCTTTCGACCAGCCACTCTGGCCTCAGTATACTGACCCAAAAGCTCTAGGTGAGAGAACTTTTTGCTGGATCTAAAGTTTTAACTCTAAACAAGTTCATACCCTGGAATTTCCAATCAAACGTTTGGGAAAGCTTATCAGTAGGAAAGAATGAAACCTAGTATCAAGGTTGTGCTGCCAAGATTGGTGGTTTTGTCTTCAGTTTTCAGTGTTAATTCTTAAATCATTAAGAATGATATCACCAAACCACACACTGAATGTACTGAGAAAACTGCTACTGACAGAAAAGGGTGGCATTTGGCAAATGCCGATGGACATCTAAGAAAGACTGTCGGTGCCATCTGGCAGGAACAACGATAATTGCAGTACGATATTTCCTATAATGTCAGAGTTTGTCAGATGTAGTCTCCTTGTGCAAAAGCATGCAATTACATGTACAGCAACAGTTTGTGTGCTTCATTATCAGAACACAGATATTTACTCTGGGCATCAGTGACACTGTCAGCTGAGAGGAAAGAGACACACAGAATCCACAGCACAAGTCTCAGGCCAAACTAACTCAGCTTCATGGATGACATCAACGGGTGAAGGGAAATTTGATGTAAAAAGCAAAAATATTGCTTTATTTTTTTAACCAACAACATGCAAATCACGGCCAAGACATTGTTTTACAATGAAGCAATTTTTTCTCTTTCCTTTTTTTCTGTACAATATGCTGATTTTCAGTTTTTACTAGGCTAAGCATATTTTACTTACTGAAAAAGTAGAAGAAATTGGCCGAAAGGAGTCAAATGAGTTGTCTTGACTGGAAAGAACAATTTTTTTCTTATTTTTTTCAAATGCAAAGGAACCCATGAGTAGAGTCCAGGAAAAACCGTCTGGATGTCGTCCAGGAAACAGAGTTCGTCTGGCTTGATGTGTACCTGGTATGTTGGCCGGCTTGGCTGCCATACCCGCCTGCATAAGTCACACCCAAGCAACAGGCATTGCAAGAGCAGTGCAGCAGTGCCACCATGCGGATTGGCAAGGAATTACAAGCAAGGATCACCGGTCATCAGCAGTCATTTTCCCACCATGCATTGGTGCATTAGATTGATATGAAAGAGAAGAGAATCACCCAGAGTTAGTGACTAGGTGGGACTAGTTATAAAGTGTGATTTGTAAACAGTTGTTGTTTTTGTTGTCCTTGTTCAATTGGTCAAAATACGTCATTAGATACTGTCCCTACATGCCATTCTATCTAGGTGCTTTAAAAGGTAGCAATCACAAAATTCTGTTGCAATTCATCCAGGGTTAAGGTATCAAAAATTTGTTTAACGTACATAACAAGAACTTTGATTTCATTACTTAGCTAGTGTAGTAGTAGAAGTATAAATTTTTCCAGACAGTAGTTGTCTGTATTGTACCGAATAGTATCTTTGACTATAAAAGTAATTACACTTGGAGCATGATTTTGCGGATTAAGTCTCATATCATTGTAATAACATCATTGATAATATAGAGAATGAAGTGATCACAGTGAAAAAGTCAAATCAGCTGCAGAATTATCTACAGAAACAGCACAGATTGCACATATGGAACAAAAAAATCAGCACCAAGGACAGGACCCAGGGGGAACAACAACCAACAATTCAGAACCACTAAATAAGTATATCAGATACACAAATCTCTCTGCACAAACTTTAAAAGTTCTGAAGACTGGGGAAAATGGTGTAAGAATAACTATAGCATGGAGGAGCTCTGTTAATGGTAGGAATGGGACTGCAAGTTAACACCTAGAGGGTAATTTTCATTGGAAAGTCTATCATAAATCTGTTTCTAACAGACGACATAACACAAACATTACACAAGTCCAGGTTACCATAGGGAAATTTCATCATGTTGGTTACATTCATATTCATATAGAAGGGTGCATATTTTATTAGAGTTTTTGTTTTTTTTAGTTTACTTTTGAGACTGGCAGATTTGCTCCAATTTAACTGGTTAAGCTTTATTGTGCATTCTGTCAGGTGAAACCTTTGAAAAGCTCAAGTTCTTCCAGCTATACTTGGATCTGTGTTTTCACAGAATCACAGACAGAAGAGCTATGTAGTCAACTGTTAGAAGTGCATAAATTATTAATGGCCCAGACATTAAAAACAGACCTCAGCATTCAAACTCAGATTCTCCCAAATGTCTGAGTTAAATACTAGCTGACAACATTATATAGAATTGAGATAACTCAAGCAGGACATGGTATAATGTTGTGATTTATCTCTAATATCTAACAAAAACAAAACATTTCAATTCTTTCCTCTTCCCACACTGGAGATAGAAACAACAGAATTTGCCATATTCCAGGTGAAAATGTTCGACCCTGCCAGCACCAGAGCATCCTGTTTGGGAACATATTAATCTCCAAGCAGATCCCTCGGTGGCAAAAAGACAGTATCAAATTGGCCATGCGGTATGCATTAGCCAATGAAGGTCACCGGCCACAGACGGGACAAAAAACGGCCATATATAAAAAGCTAACGATCATTCCCCCACAACCTCTGCTTGGAGAGTAGGAATATATTTTAGGTTTCATCTGTTCAGTCAGCCATGAGGAATCGTCCCTCTGATATTTGGTCTCAGATTGCAGACGGCAGATGAGAAATGGGAGTCATTCTGCAGATGAAATTACCAGCAGGGAGAATTCCCACAGTAGAACTGGATTGCCTCACATCACCTCACATCGCAAATTGATTCCTGTGGAGTACGTCATACGTTACAGGGTTAGGCCTGGGGAAGAAATGTTGTGTTTCCTGTTTTCTGACTGATACTTAGTAAAACCTGCCGACCCTGGCCTTTTTTGGGGTGGGCCCCTGCGAGGGACGCTCATATTTTACGGGCTGATCGACCTTTTCTAGCTCCATGATCTTAAATCTGAGTAATGAAACGTTGTACAATCATTTTCCAACATTGACATTGAAAATATAAGTATCGTCATGCAAGTTTTACTTTGTTGAACTGCATTGTATAAGTTGGATCACTAGAGATCAAGAAAGTTTAATAAAAACAGAAAGAAAAAAAGATACCTACTTACCGACCCTAATTTTTTCAGAACTGAAACAGGAAACACAACATTTTTTCCCTGGACCTTATAACAACATCATATCAGCACCAAACTGCCAAATGCGTACGTCATACGTAGGGTTATATCATCATATCAGCTGCAAACTGCCAAATGGTGCCTTTGGGCCAAGATTTAAACCCTTGTCCTGCCTGCATTTTTACACAATATTTTCTAATAACTTGATGTCTTACTCAGGTCACAGACCCTTGACTTTTTTGGCCTGCAACAACGTAGCTACTTCTGCAGTTGTTGCATTTGCAGCAGTGTGATGCATTGCACGAGAAATACACACAAATTGTACATATACAGGGTACTATATACTAGATGAATGTGTACCCCGCATACAAATTGTATATGGCCCCACAGGACAAGGGTAAGAACAGTAAAAAAGAATGGGGTACTAGGTTTGAAGAATCACACATCAGGATGCATGTTGCATCTAATCCTTTCTTGTCAATTAGACATTAGAGTTGAAGTTTCTTTAAATTGCTACAATTTTTTTTTATTGACATTTAGTAATAACAGTTCACCTATCACTACATACAGGCACGTCTATGTAATTTGGCCTTTTGAACAGTCACATTCAGGCATCTCATAACACTCACTCTAAAGCTCCAAGCTAATCATACCCGGCAGCCCCATGTACCGATACAGTCATTATAGTGCTGAAATTGCTCCGTTAAGCTGGCAAATAGGCCGTTATCTAGATCCAATAGTCTGGGTCACTTCATGTAACCCTGCCTGGTCATATGACGTTCATGCTAGGCAGGTTTGATACATGACTCTGTACAGAGGGCAGGAAAATTATTATTACAGTCCACACAGCTCTGTATCAGATAAAGTACTGCATAAATTATACCACTTCTGTGTCAGTTTGGAAAAGGAAAAATTATAGGCAAGTCTATCTTCCAGTCCCTATGTTTAATTCATGTAAATATTATACAAAATTGAATCATTTAAATATTTTTGATTTAGTGAAATAATGTAAGGATTAGAAAAGCTACAAGTACAAATGACACTAAATGATACCATGTAATTTGTGTGCATATGGAATTATGATATAGAGGAGACAGACAGGAATTGTACTATAGAAAAATCAAATAATTTGTTCATGAGCAGATCTACTAGTAAGTGAATCTAACATTAATTTTACCCCCAATAGGCCAGTACTAAAGTCCTGCGGAATTAAACTATACTATTTATAGAAAAATCAAATTTGTTCCTGAACAGTTCTAAGTAAATCTAACATAAACTTCACCCCCAGTACGTCGTATACAGTCCTGCATACCTTTACTTTGCTTCACAGAGACGTGCAGGCCCATACGGCCGTGGCACCTGGAATTACTCACTTCTTATGACAACAGAACAACTCAAGATGAAGCAAGTAGGCAAAGACATCGGGCTGGGGTTTAAGAAGTCTCAGTCACACCTTGAGCTGTTTAAGAACCCATCAGACTTGCCCATAGAAAAAAAAGAATGATGCACTGATTCTCCACCCAACAGTTCCTTACTCACACAGTATCTGACAAGACTCCAGGTTTATGTGGCTTACGTGATATAAAACAATAAACAGTCAGCTGATTCATGTATTAAGGTCACTGCTGACGTCATTATAGAGTCTGTTATATGTTGTAGCTATTGTCAACTGAGATTTTCACACACCAGACAGTACTCATTGCATACAGCTGAACATGTGTGTAGATGCATGTACCTTTACTAACTAATGGTATTAAATCATAGATCTGTATTAAATCTGTAGAACTGTGTGCTGATGTCAGTTGACAATAGCTACAACGTTAACATTAAGTAGACTCTATTTGTAGTTCCATATACTAGGTTATTGAACTCCAGGTCACAAACAGGCTGAAAACAAAACTCCAGAACGCTACACTTTAGCTTTAATACTGTAGAACAAACTGCCACTCAGAACATTGGTGCTAAAAACTTGCAATAAATTGCCTGAAGGCCTTACATGTACGTGTAGGTATCTTATGTCGCTGAGCTAAAAACTTGCAGTAAATTGACTGAACATTTTAGATCCTATCCTGTATCTCTGAGACCAGTAATCACTGTTACAGTAGATAATGAAGTAGAGTCATGATTATACTTGAGACTCTTTCAAGCATATGAAAAACCAGATACCAGTATATGGCACTAATGCACACTGTTAAAATGCACACTGCAGTTAGAATGCACAGAGGCGAGTCTGTGACAGTTGTACAGTGTAATATAACCAGCTGCTGCCATGCCATGTTATTATACCGGCTATAATTATTTACTAATACAGATAGTAAAGATACCCATACAGATTACACTAATGAAGTCCCTGTATTAGACCCTGTATGTTAAGAGGTGCTAATACTCCATTTCAAACTCAAAATACATTTTTTTTTAGAAAATCATGGTGTGCTAAAGAATTGCATACATAATCAATGGTTTTATTAAATTTAACAAAATATTCTATTATTTTTAATATATAAAAATTCTGTTCCCATCCTGGCAAGTCCAACTACCAGTAAATCACCCACCCTATTAAATGGCCAGAAAAAAGTTACTGTCTCTACCAGTCTTACTATGCTGGCTATATAAGAGAATATTTGCCTGGGGTTTGACTGGCCAGAAAGAAACTTCCACGGCCGGACTCCCCTGGCTAATTTTACTCTCCTTTTTGCGAAATGCTACAATCCGTATTCCCGTTGAAAGGCCTGGTAGAGGCTAATAAAAAAACCCAGCCTACACTCTGAAGACCCATCTATAAAACCCTGTGCTTTACTCTGAAGACTGTCCAAACTGACATAACAGATTTGCCTGTCCGGAGAACATGAAATATTCATGTGTCCTTTTGTGTTGTCTGCAGCGAAGACATGAAACATTGATGAGTTCTGTCGGGGTAAAACCTGACCAGGGTCTCATTGTTCACAGAAGGTGGGAGTAATGTGGACTAAACTGAACTATATAAAGAGTTTAGTTACTGATTATCTCAAGGGCTTTTTTATTATAAACACTCAGTGGTCTAGGAAAACATCCAGCAAAGAAAAATATGTGTACAAGATTTGCACCTGAATTATACGAAGTTGATTCTTATCTGACCTTAAAACATGGCTGATAAACTGACACTATTCATCTCCTGTTGACACTGTTTTGTGATCATGTATCTGATATATTTACTAGTAGAAAGGGTTACATTAAACAGTTCAGACAGCTTCTTAAAGAAACGGCCTTCGGGACCTTTAAGAGAGGCAGAGCATGGACTGTAATAAAATAGGACGTGTAATACTCCAAATTTGGGTACACTAAGGTGCACATGCACCCAGTATTTCGAGCCCTGGTCAGAGTGGCCTATTGTGGCATTGAGGTATCCGTACTAACAATCAAGATCAAATATTCTTACATTGTAAGTCAGTACACAATTCTGGCAATACAGTATCTAGAAAAAAAATTCAATTTTCAGGTATAGCGTGGAATTGTCTGAGCGTGATGCACGCTGGCATTCCAATTAAACTCCCCTGAACGCACGTCTGGGGATTCTTCACACGGCAGGCTGATTGGAAAAGGAGATCTGCCGAGTCTTAACTTTAATAGCCTTGCCTGGGAGAAACGGTTATCACAGGTTTGAGTCCCGCATGGACGGGTTTGAGTCAGATTGTACCTTCAGCGCAGAGATCTTCTGTTGGAAAGGTTAACACTTGCCTCAGGGATTTAAAACATTATACAAATGGTAGAAAAAAATCTTTTGTCTCTAAGGCTGTCTCAGGTCTTCATTGTGGCATCAATAACAGATTCAGGGCTTGAAATTCATTTTGGGAATAGGTGCACCCAACCTAACAAAATTGGGTGCACAGGAAATTATTTGGGTGTGCCATATGAAATAATCTTATACAGCAAAGACTTGATTATTTTTCTGACATATGTAGATGTTAAGAATATACTGTATACTGGTATATAGTTTACATTATGTAAACTTACAAAAATATTTGGGTGCACTCAGGTAGGTGTACCCACGAAAACAATTGGGTGCACAGCTCAAAAGCAAAGTTTGGGTGCACAAAGGTGAACATGTACCCAGTAGACTGTACATGTATATACAATAACAAAACCTGCAACTGGCCTCAAAGGCTCTGCATTCACCATCACATTCAATTACTGAGTAATCTTTAAAGACGGAGACTTTCACTAGTCTGACATTATTGCCTGCACAGGTTAAGACGACAGTTTGAGATGGCAGCCTAACTCTGAATGATGGAGTAGTGTATAAATTGCCAGCTTCTGTAACTTCTTTAGAACAGGTTGTTCCAGTCATCACATGCTTAAAATAATTATATAAGACTCCGTTCACACATTATGTTTCTAACTTTCTAAGATTGAGAAAAAGGATTATATAAGAAGGCAGTACAATCTAACATTCATCTTTCTGAATCACTTTTTGTTTTCTCTCTCCTTTCAGTTCAAGTATAGAAAAAAGAGTGTAAAGCCTGCTACCTGAAACCCTCCATCTGCTTGGTGCATCTTTAGAGACATACTGGTGACCAGACATGAAATTCTGTTTACCACCAGACCACAAAGCCATTAGTAATATCAAAAATAAGAAAGTTGTATGTATATTGTTCCAGATTCTGTAGTAATTATACCCGATGGAACCCCCCCCCCCTTACAGGACAGGTGGGGACACTTGGCCTGGTTCTCAGGTGGGCTGAAAGACTCGCCGGTCCTTAAGTAACATTCCTTAAGTATGTTCCTTTCTTAAGTACCCACCGACTCAGGTGTCAGGCTGGGGGATTCAGTCTTCAAGACAAAAAAGTTACACAACAGTAGCAGCCAGACATAACGGACTGATGATTTATTATTTATTTTTGTATTATATTTTGATTTGCACTTTGTTTTGATTTTGTATTATATTTTGTTTGATTTGTAATCCGTGACCCCGCCCTCACCCTCAACCTTGTTGAAAAGCGGTCATTTGTAACCGAACAAGCTTTCGAGTTTAAATAAAGGCTTACTACTACTACTACTACTACTTGAGACGCACCACTCACTTGGCAAAACACTTAAATACGTTTCTGTCTGGGTATAGGTTAGCACCTTGATATTAACTTTTAACTTAAGGCAGATCACTGTCTTCATTCCTCCTTACAATTTGTACAGATGCACTTTTAATTATTTCTCTTTCTAAATATCTCACCTTTAGAAAAGATTTTTAACATTTGCTAAGTCGCCTACTTCGATTCTGAAATGTTACCAAAAGTCACCTCTAGGCCAACTTACAAGAGGTCATCACAATATCAAATACATCTTTTCACCGCTATATCAATAATCATTGGTCTGACAGAAATTCCTTTTTTTTACTAGCAGTAACTCCTTTCTCATTAATCTTTTAAATTCCCATCCAAATAAATCAGATCACATTTACAAAATCTTGGGATAAGAACCCAGGACCAGTAAATCTGCTCGTGCAGATTGGAACCCGTGACCTCTGGTTCTTTTATACTCCTGTTCACCTGACATGAGTCATGCCTGGTGGTGCCACCTGATGATGTCACTGATGTAAACACGCCGGACTGTTGACTATACAGACGTAACAACACTTTTGTTTTGCTTCAAATCAAATCAAGACGTTCTGTACAGTTCTGGCGACAAAGATCTGCAATTTTCCCATTTTTCTCCTGCATGTACTAGATAGAAGCGTTCCTGAAACAATGTGGGTTTTGTGAAAGATGAGCTATTTGGGACACGTCCTTTTGTTGACTTTAGAGACGCACCAAAACAGATTTGTTCCACCTCTGTCCTTTCAAAATGTCTGACTTGTAAGAACCAACTGCTTTCCTGTAGACAATTGTCAATTTTTTTATCAAGTTAAAGCTGATCATGGATAATTTTTTCTTTGAGAAATACTAAATATTTAGGGGGGGAACTGGTTGTGATGTTATATAGGAAATATGTAGGAAGTGAGTGTATAGCAACTAGTAAGTACAAACACAACGGGACACGTCATCTAATCCTGGTCTAGTGATCATTCTGCGAAAAATTCTTCTACAAATCTGTTAAATTTCCTTTTTCTTTATTATCATCAATCCTGTTACTTTTATCTTGTAACAAAATATCACCACATATATGTACTAGTAACATGTCAACAATAATTATTCATATCTTCCCACTAAATTTGGGGGCCAAACTTCTGAACCAACATCTAAATCTTCCCAGCCACAAAGCAAAACGTAAAGTAGTTAAACCTACACCCTAAAAAATAACACCCAAGAGGAGGGAGGGGGGCGGGGTAACTCTTGTATAAGCCGTATATGGATTATATTCTTCACTTCAGCGATATTATAAAATGTCATTATCAGAAATACTGGTGAAGCGAGTCATACCGACATTGTCAGTTGTCAGGACGTACTCATAGAAATGCTAAATAAAATACCGATCTAAAAAACAGGAACCACAAAGAGAAAACCTTTCATTTAGACGCAGGTTTGGAAAATTTGCAGGTAAAACTCACCAGAATGTCAGCTACTTCCGCGTCCAGCCTGGCTTCCGCCATCTGATAACAATCGGCACAAACTTGCCGCCAGGCTTCTTATCCAACTCTCCCGGGACCCTGCTAGCTCACCGGCGCCTTTCTACTCCGAGAAGTCTTGAAAGCGGCCTTAAAGAAGTGTTTGTGGCGCCTTGAGGAGCTGGTGACCTCTAAATACCGGCCGGAGGTGTGTTAGTTCACCTGGACTGTGGGGAAGGCGGGTTCTATTGTCGGAGTAAAGTAAGCCGCACGTTCCGCACCACCACATTCGCATCAAGGTTGGTACTGGTAGGGTAGGGTTAGCTGAAAATATAGGACAGAATCTGAAGAAAGAAAGTATTCTATGGAAGAAAAAAACTATCTATTGGGTTCTTTTGTAGTTAACTTTGGGATAAAATTGATGAATATCATTCATTATGTAATAAAAACACCGAAACTTGGGCTTTTCAAAAGCACGTCATTCGTATGCAGATACGAATATCTGATGCGGGTTCAAATTTCTTGTTGCAGACGACATTTCTCATAGCGCCGTTGCCATGACAACCTCAGATCACGTTCAATCCATGAAATTCGGTGCTGATACATTAGAAATGTATGTGTAAGGAGTCTTTTAGTACCCACCAGGGATGGAGATTAATAGAAAATAACACGATTTAATTTGTTAATTTCTAAAACCTTCCCTACTTTCAAACTACCATTAATGATTAAGAAATATAATCAACAAATTAATTGTGCAAAACATAACAATTAATGTGATTCTTTTTCCTTAATTGTCATCTAGTTCTATCATATACCATTCCAAATGTTTAGAACCTTCGGTTTACAAGTAGGAGATAAGTTACTAGTGCAGTGCAGTGCAGTGGGGACCTCTGGCGGTCATTAGGATTTCTGCAGCCATGTGGCACCCAAGGGTAGTGGGTGTTGACTAGAGAAAGTTCCCAAGAGTGCTTTTGCAACATCAGACGAGAGAGTTAAAAAAAGATAATTACTTTGAATATTACATGAGAAGAAGAATAAAATGAAATTGCAAAAATTACTTTTTATTCTTTTTAAATACCATTGAATTCTGGCAATTTTACAGAATCATGGTGATCTTGATCTGATGCAACTGTCTTTACACCATCATAATCAAGTATAGTAAAATTCAAACAGTGAAATCTTTTCATTAGATATGTTAAAACTAGAAAGTCATACGATATGATATGTCAGAGTTTCAGTTATTAGAATATTGATCATATATCATTGAATCACATTATAAACACTACCATAACTTTCATAGTTAAGACATACTAATAGAATCTGCATAGTACAATGAAGATTTACAACTGATACACACTCCTGACTAAAGTTGAAGCGTTGAATCCTCAGTCTTTACCTACCCTGTAAAAACACACTTTAAACATTTCACCTTATTTTGTGTCATTTTTGTTGATACATTTTATTATATATATTTATAAAAACATGATTTTGAAAACTGGAATGTTCAGCAGGATAGGCATAAATATCATCATCTATTTCATCTATAGAATTCAGAAACGACATCATATACTAGATAGAAGAACTGCAAGAAAAAACTAAGCTTCAGAGCCATCCATTCCAAACTCGATAGCTCAATGCATAGTTACATTTTTTCCCACTTTGTACATAGATATAAACTTAAAAAAAAACATTTTTAACTTTTCAAAGATATGTCACAGTGATAAAATATTAGTAAATCTACAGTTATAAAAGTTTCGCAATTATAATAGCAGTCGTGCATTCTTTTCCGCCTCCTGCTTGGCTTTTTTCCACTCCAGGATGAGTTTTTTTCCCACTTTGTACAAGATATAGACTGTCGTTAAAATGTATGTCAAGATATGTGATAAGATATTTTCAGTTATAGTAGTTTTGCAGTCCCTGCATCCTTCTCAGCCTCCCTCTTAGCTTTTTCCACTCCATGATGAGTTTTTGTACAAGAAATAAACTGTCTTTAAAATGTATGTCAACTTTTCTACGATATGTGATAAAATATACAGTTACAAAAGTTTCGCAGTTATAAGAGTTTGGCAGTCCGTGCGTCCTTTTCAGCCTCCCTTTTTGCCTTTTTCCACTCGAGGATGAGTTTCTGTTCCTCCATGACCTTGCTGTACTGCGGGTTGTTCTGGCTGTACGCCAGCTTCGTGACCAGCGGCGCGCGGCGCAAACCGGTTCCCGCAGACGTCTCGCTGCGAGGGTCTCCCATCCGTGTTCCCGGGGAGTCTCCCATGCGCGTTCCCGGGTGCTGCCGCGTGTAGGTCCGCAGGGTCGAGTCGTAGATGCTCTGGGTCGTGGGGTTAGAGGTCGAGGTCGGGTCGACGTGCCGCGGGTACTGTTGGAAAGAAAGTCACAAAAACTGATCGTCAGATCTCGAACCAGTTCAGCTCATTGAAGTCAGCTACTCTCCCACTGGTCGTGACAGAGAAGACAGACGCTTAATAATGTACAGTATTTTTTTGACAAGCACATTTTGAACAGTGAACCACAGCTTTTAGCATCCCGTCCTAACCCTAAACAGTAGCGTGCATGTCGGGTGAGCAACAAAAGCAGGGATTCGAACTCCCAACCTCTTAGTCCAGAGGCAGGGTCGCTCTCTAACCACTGGAGTACGCACGCTTCCGGTGCCAAATGTTTACAGAGACTCTGTGTCTTTACTTCAGTAAATTCCAGGAACTGTCTTCATAAGCATGCTTTTCTTCTTTAAGGTGATAAATAAAGTTGAGCACGGAATGTTGTACGCTTACACAGATCCATACATCCTGACTGACAGGCTACTTAGTCACTTCCTGGAAAAGTCGCTTCCTGGAAACGTCGCTTCCCGGAAAAAGACTACGTGCAATGTTACCTGTTTGAATGCCTCGGGCAGCAGGATGCGCCCAAGTTCGTCCAATGTAAATATAGTACACAATGTAAAAGACTAAAAGTGATGTTACCTGTTTGAATGCCTCTGGCGGGAGGATGCGCCCGAGCTCGTCCACGGGCGGTCGGCGCGCCTCGCTCTCGATGCGGAGTCGCTGGAACTCGTCCAGTTGCTGCTGCAGCTTCAGCACAACGTCCCGCCGCTGACCCGGGTCACGCACCATCGCACGGCTCTCCGCCACGTACTTAGCAAACGTGTTCCTTCCCATGTATGACGCTCGCGGCAGGTTGATCGGGTACCTGCAAACAGTAGTTGGGTCAGGTTTATTGGTATCAAGTTGTGTTATCTATTAGTGCTAAGTGTCGGGATATTAACATAAATTCAGAAAAATGAAGAAAAAAAAGCAAATACGAGACCTGTCCTTGGTGCTAAAGTCACTGCGATTCAGATTCAGATTCTAGAGCTGTCCATGGTACTGAACTGTTGTTTTTTTTACTACTGGAGTTCCTAATATACATAAACATAAAGAAACAAAAACCTACATAGCAGCCACCGTGTCGTTTAGCCCCTGTTTGGGCGTGGCGCGAAGATGGTAGCCATGGAGAGCCGTGAAGTTCCGCCAGACGTTACTGTTGTAGTCCCGCGCCTGCTTAGGGGGCATCATGGGCTCATGCCAGCCTACCTCCTGTAAATACAGACATAGTACGTCAACTTTATAAACACACACACACACACACAAACACACACACTGGATCAGAGTAAAGTCGTAATCAGCTCTGAGAATTTAACATAATTCCTATAATCAGCGGCGAAAATTTTGTGTAATTTGTAATCACTACCCCCCATGCAGGCCCTCAATAAACTGAAACTGAAATTATCTCTATCTCTAATTGCTCTTCACTGTGAACATTGACGTACCTGCCATAGATGGAACGTGGGTGGGGGTTCGAATCTCGGTGTGGACTCCTCTACCGAAGTCCTCAGCTTGTGGTTGATTTCGATGTTGGTGGCCGTTCTCGGCGGCTTGATGGTGGCCAGCCTCTGGATTGGTCGAGGAGTGAATCCTGCGCCAGATAACATCTTACATGTAATTCACAAACACAATGTAAAGGATCAAAATTTCCAACACAACAAAAATTGGACTCACCCAAATTTTTGACAGTACAACTTATTGCTCATTCTTTGACAAAGACTGGAGTTGTACAGTCAAAAATTTAGGTGAGACCAATTTTTGTTGTGTTGGCAATCACAGTTCAATCTTGATCATAATGACTTCTACTAACACAGATGAACTTTCAAGATAACAATGTAAAGAACTTAAATATTTAGCTACGAAAGACAAAAGATATCTACCAACATTATTGCATAGGGTTCTAAAAATTAGATAAGATTCCAGCATGATAGTTAGTCTCCACGACAACCCTGGTACTCACCTGAGCGGCTGGGTGTGGGGATGTGGGCCAGGTTTTCCCGCTCTGCGATGGTCGGGCCTCGGGCTGGCATGGTGCGAACTGCTAACATCACACAGCTGTGAAACAACAGACAGATCAGGTTAGACATGGGCAAAATTAAAGCAATGGTCAGGCTTCGGATTGGCCAAGGAGGTTTTGAACCTCCTTGGATTGGCATGGTGCAGACTGTCTGACAGAAAGGAGGTTCAAAAAGAGACAGACAGCAATTCAGACGGCTATTAAGTAAAACAGCAGGCAGAATTAACATATCACAATTACCACCATTACACTTTAATTTGCATTAAAGGGGGTTACAGAAAATACAACTTGTTTTGTTCGATGGTTTGTAGGTGATGTATGTTTGGTACCTAAAGAGGCCCAGGTGGTAGGCAACTAGCGGAGAGACCTACTCTACTGTACTTTATAACACTTGGGCTACTCATAGAGTTATTCTAACTCCATGAGCCACTTCAGTTCAGGCTATCGTCTGTCCACGAACCATTAAGACCAGCGACATCTGATACACCAAAGCGCTGTTTTCACTCTTAAGGCTGTTTGCTGTCTGTCTGCGATGAGTGTACGGGTTGGTAATTGTTTATGGATGACAGTTGCTGTAACTACTTCATTTTTATATACCGCAACAGACATGAAGAAAAGAATGCAAATCCAAGTGTACGGAAAGTTTCGAAAAGAGAATCAAACCGCACAACACAAATTGTGTGTATAATGTCAGCGCTTTGAACATCATATATATACTTTCTAACAGAAAAAAAACACCTAAGAAATGACCAACCTGAAGTGTGCCTCTTGAAGAATCAGCTACCGCAACAGAAACTACAAAGAACTAAACATTTCATGCAGGAAAATCAAAGAAACTAGCAGAAATCGCCGTTTCCCAGCTGCTACGCCGCCATGTTGGATTCGGCACCGCGTCCGGCCCGTCGCCATGACAACGCCTCATCATAATATTTACTGCCAATTAGCTGTTTCAGTATCCTCCCGCCGCGGACCTTTACTGGGTAGTTTTACGCAGTTTTTGCAAAATTACAGCAATTAGATTCATTTTAAGGATAAAATAGGCATTAAAATATAGTATTGTTTTGTTCAGAAAGTTTTTGTTTGGTCTCAAAAGGTACTATTCTTAAAAAAAGACGTTTATATTAGACCATGGTAGGGAGGAAGTTTAATAGTCGGAAGAGCCGATGTTCTGCCCGCCATGTTGGTTCCGTGATGTTTACAAGTGAGTTGTGAGTTGTGATCAGCGGTGATGGACGTGTGAGTTTTATCTGGTCTGTCAGCCGCCTGTTGGAGCCTAACCTCGCCAGATCAGCACGGAATAACCCCGGAACTCTCTCACAGCACGGAACACTCGCTCAGGTACGGCTGGGCCGGTATACGGAGGGGTTTCAGGGTGTTTTTTTAGTAGAGTAAAATACACTCATACTATCATACTATAACGTTATGATCATAGTTTTCATATGTAGTATATTGTGACGTGAATTATTTTTTTCTGTACTCTTTGAACTCGACAGTGGATTTGGACAGAGACCTTGAGTTGCCGTTTTAGATGCTTTAATCCGGAAGGGTTAGTAACGGTACAAACGTGGATGTGCTCAGTCTGGAGTCCAGGCAGAAAGAGAAGGAACTAGAGTCTGGGGTTACTCTACTAGACTGAGCTACTTAATATTCAGATATGGACTAGTCTATCACAGAGAGTTAGAGGGGTGTCGTCTAACTTTGCTTAATATCACAACATCCCCCTTTGTTTAAAAGGTTAATTGTTTGGCATGCATTACTGCTACTTGCTGCTTTGCTAACTTCTTCAAGTCCATAATCGTAGTCCAGAATCACAGTCCGTTTTCCGGTTTGTTCTGTCAACTTTAAATCTTACAAGTCCAATTTCACGGGTGGCTTCACAGCTCTTCCAGATCGGGTGATGTACGGTTGTGCTGCAGTGTCATTCGGGACTGGTGTTGGAGACTCGTTGACCGCTGGATCCTCGCCGGTGTCAACGGTGGATTCCTTTGTCTTCTGTAGGTGCTTTCTGTTTCTCCGATATTGCACACCGTCTGGCGTTTCTACTAGCCATGATCTGGGTTGTTCTGTCTGCTGGATAACTGTAGCAGGTGTCCACTTCTTGTTTTGCTGCTGTAGCCTTATTTCTTCTCCAGGTGATATCGGTGGGAGAGGTCGGCTGGACTTGTCGTACTGCGTCTTCTGACGCTGTTGCTTCTGCTCTAGCTGTCGTCGCACGTTTTCGTGGTTGACAATCTTTGGCGTCAGCTGTTCGTTTGTCGTCGGCAGGCGCGTGCGCAATCTTCGACTCATCAGGAGTTGTGCCGGCGACGGTAGTGTGTTGTCTACTGGAGTGTTCCTGTACTCCAGCAGTGCGAGAAACGGGTCTTTGTTATCCGCTCTCGCCTTCTGTAACAGGCGTTTCATGGTCTGCACAGCTCTCTCAGCCAGTCCGTTTAACTGAGGATAGTGCGGGCTTGACGTGGTGTGTGTGAACGACCACGTTTGCGCGAATCTTGCAAACTCTTCACTCGCATACTGCGGTCCGTTGTCACTGATGACTTCCTCCGGGATTCCGTGTGTTGCGAATGTTTTCTTCAGCTTTATTATCACGTCTGTGGATCGGGTGCGCTCCAGTTTGTGGATTTCTATGTACTTTGCTGTAGTAGTCCACAATCAGTATGAAGTCTTTCCCGTCCCAGTGAAACAGGTCTGTTGCAACTTTCTGCCACGGCCTCTGCGGGACCGGATGTGGCGTCATTGGCTCTTTCACGTTGGAGGATCGATGTTCCTGGCATACTGCACATCTCTGGATCCTCTCGTCAATCTGGGCGTTTAGGCCTGGCCAGAACAGTATGTCTCGGGCTCTTGCCTTTGTCTTTTCTTGACCCAGATGACCTTCATGCAGGATGCCTAGCATCTCTTTTCGCATTGACCTTGGAACCAAGATCTTCTGCCCTTTGAAGATCACGTCATCATGGACGGTCAGCTCGTCCCGGTGGTTCCAGTATTCTGCGATTTGCGGGTCACACTTGTCTTTCGTGTCGGGCCATCCTTCTTTGATGGTGCCTTTGAGAGTGACTAACTGTGAGTCTTCTCTTGTTTCTCGGCGGACTTCTTCCATCCTCCGTGAGGACACAGGCAGGTTGCTTGTCACCATGTGCACTTGTGCCTCGAATGTTTCTGACATGTCGTCAGTCTCCTCCAGGTACAGCCTGCTCAGAGCGTCGGCTACTGGTATATCCTTGCCAGGTCTGTGCTGCACTACCAGGTCGTACTTCTGTAACCTCAGTAGCATCCGTTGCAGTCTTGCCGGCGCTGAGCTTAGTGGTTT